AAAATCTATATATATAATATATAATCTATTTCTGAGCAGACAGCAGTGTTCTGCCCAGTTCACAGAACCGGAGGCTGAGATCAGAAAGGAATTTTCTCTCCCGTTAGCCTTACTCATTAACCATTGTGGTGACAATCTTCCAAAGAAACAAAAAGAAAAAAAAAAAAAAGGGAAGAAAATAAAATAAAATAAAAAGGAAGAAAGACATTGAGCAGATGAGTTTTGCCTATAGCAAGCTTTCCTAGTCCTATCAGCACAGACCCACTGCTGACGGATTTGAATAGTGCAAACTAGCGAGAGGCAGTGGGAATGTGCTGAAAAACAGCCAGGAAGGTCTGACAAGGTTTGTTTTTTAAGACCCTCAGAGTTTCTGCTAGCTGGAGTCTTCCCGCCTGCCCCCAGGAGCTCTGGATTTAACCAGGGGATGAGGAAAAGGGGCATTTGTACGTTTGACGTAGACGTTCCCCTTCCCCCAGAGCTGCCCCACCTGTCCGTCCATCCGTCCATCGCATCCCAGCTCAGAGGAAGCCCATTTCTTTGCCGAGGTTCTGGGCTGCGAGATGGAGTTAAGGTCAAAAGGTGGAGAACAAGGAAAGGTCCGACGTCCCAGCTTAGGAGACTGGAACTGTCCCATTGCTTGGAGATCCCAAGTGCCCAAGACCAGTGGAAGAACGTGTTTTCGCCAGACTGGAGCGATCGGTGGTGGGTAGGAAAGAACAGGGAGCGGATCTGGGACTCTCTCCTCCCCACGCACATTTCCATCTCCCAGCTCCGGGAAACCACCGCCAGGTTCAAGTGCACCTTCGGAAGTTGGCTACAACAGGGGTAATACTGGCTACGGCCCCTTCCCGCAAGCTGGAATTTGAGCCTTTGGAAATCTTGGAAGGAAAGAGAGATGGCACAAGGGGCAGGAGTGTGCTTTTCACGTGGAAAGGACAGCACCGACCCGACAGCAGCTGGCAGAACAGACGTGGCAATGTCCTTCAAAGAAGAAGGTGGCTTTCACCGCCTCCCCCAGCACCAGTCCGTACCCGCTGCTCCACCGCTCGTGTCTTTTCAGGTTGGGTTTGGATCCAGCTGAGGTGTCGGGGCTTCATACGATGGCTACAGAGAGAAGAGCATCCTCCGAGCCCAGCAGATGAAAAGCAGGTGAGAAATCTCAGCTACAGGACTTCTTCTTAACCTCCCCACCTGGGCGAAGCAGAGCACGCAGGCACTGCCGCCACGTCCCGCTTTCCCCAGCCGTGTCACATCCAGTGCCACCTCCTCTGCACTGTGCAGAACCCAGTCCCCAGCAGAGGGGCCTCCCTCCTCCGCCAAGGGCTCGGCCAAGGATGCTCCACGGCCTCCGGAGGAGACTGGCAGGCACCTGGTGCGAACTCTCTCCTCCACTCTGCGTGGAAACACAGCTTCACTTTGAGCGTCTGGCACGGACCAGGGCGGCAGGCGGCCCCCCCACCTTCGCTCCTCCCGATACCAGGGCTTGGTCAGAGACGTGCTGTCTTCCGAAGCACCTCTTGGCATTGCCCAGCGGCAGGAAATGCTTCTCGGAAGCCTTGTGCTCATTGCTCTAACAGTACCAAGGTTGACTGCGGAAAGCCACTTTCCCCTGGCTGAGAGGAGTTGGCTGCTGGTTTGCTCAGGGTGAGGGGGGAGCTTAGCCCTTGTCCTGGGTAAGAGGAGCTCCCTTTTCATTCATGCTCTTTAAAAAACAAACAGAAAAAGAGACGTAGAGGAGACAGGTATCAGTACCGGACGGGCAGCAACACGAGTGGCAGAAGCAGAGAGCCCTGCTGTGCTGCGGACCTGGCCCTGCTCACCGCAACCTCGCGGGCTCCTCCGACATCAACGGAGACACGGGAGCCCCGGGTTTCCCCTCTGCCCAGTTCAGGCTGAACTGGTCCCTTGACTCTGGCCTTTGGCTCCTAAATGTTTCCAGCCAGGGCTGGACCTTCTGGGTACAGGCATCGGCCGGGGGGGATGGAGGAGAGATGAAAATATCCCACCATCAGTCCCTAGACACTGGTGTTCCAGTACAGAGAGGCTGTAAACCTCCTCAAAACCTCTCCTCTCGGGTGTAAGATTCCTTCTAAACCCTGGGTTTCAACATGCAGTCACCTTCGCATTTCCTCACGAGGCTCCAGCAGGGCCAGCACTTGCCAGGGGCCAGCACTTGCCAGGGGCACATTGTCCCATCCAAGTCCTAGGGATAACGGAGACCAACCTACAGCCAGTACAGAGAGGCTGTAAACCTCCTCAAAACCTCTCCTCTCGGGTGTAAGATTCCTTCTAAACCCTGGGTTTCAACATGCAGTCACCTTCGCATTTCCTCACGAGGCTCCAGCAGGGCCAGCACTTGCCAGGGGCCAGCACTTGCCAGGGGCACATTGTCCCATCCAAGTCCTAGGGATAACGGAGACCAACCTACAGCCTGTCTCTGCCTGGCTCCTGCAGCGAGTCTGGTGTGCGCACACCCGGGGAACGGCACCTCGGGAGCCTCTGCGCCTACCCACGACCCTGCCTGGGCCCTACAGAAGTCCTCAGAGGCAGGATCAGGACGTGACCCTGGCTAGCCAGGGATGCAGCGAGGCGTCCTGGCTCTGTCGCCTACGCGGTGCCCTTGCTCCCCCACGTTAGCGGCAGCGCAGGGTGTCTCTGCCCGGGGCTGTACAGCGCCTAGCACCAGGAGCCTGGCGGGGTTAGGGTAGTGCTAGCAGCATACGCACCGTTCCTTTCGGGGTGTTGCCATCAGGCTGCAGGTTGAGAAACGGGTTAGTCTGTGCTGTGAGGACGGGTGGGATGCCTGTCCCCGAAGCCAGGAGGCTGTTCCCAGGAGCGCTGAGCGGTGGGGTGGCCTGGGGGGCCAGGAGGGCATTGCTAGGGTTGAGCTGCTGGGGGGAGAGGGAGGCCAGGAGAGAGCTGCTGCTGGGGGGCGGCTGGGGGGCTGAGGTCATCAGGGCGCTGGCGCTGGAGTGCAGGGGGGCGGAGGTGGCGGCCAGCAGGCTGGGCATGGACAGCTGGGGCGAGCTGGGCATCTGCAGCCGCTGCAGCTCCCTCTTCTGCTGGATTTGCTGCATCATCTGGAACACCAGGGCCTGCTGCTCCTGCGGGGAAGGGCGAGGAAGAGCTGTCAAAGGAGGGACACAGGGCTCAGGAAGAGGTGACACCTCATACAAAGGAGCCAGGAAGCACAGGGGCACGCTCCATTCCAGGCAGTGCTGCTGGGGACAGGGAGAAAGTCCATCCCCTCCATCTCATCGCTATAGGTAGAGAGAGGAGCAGTCTGTCCTGTGTTTATTCACAGCCTGTGCTCGTGACCCTTCCAATCAATCGGCCCATGGATTTGAAGTCTGGGGCATTCACCACCCTGAGTTTCTAGGCTGGCTGCTCATTGCCTTTCCCAGCCCGTCCTGCTTCACAGCTCAGCCCTGACCCACAGGCTCGGTGTAGCTGAGCCGGATTCGGAGGGACCAGGGCCACAGCTCACCTGCACCGGGAGGGACGCCCTCGAATCCAACCCAACTGCGGAAATCACTATAGCAACCATCGACCAGAGCAGCAGGCTGAGAGCTGACATTGTTCCCGTACTCACAGGGATGCAGCTGATGACACAGTGACATCAGCTGCTGTAAAGAGCAGCTCTTCGAAATTTGCTTTTCCCCAGTTATAAATAGACTGACCCAGAAATCCATCCACAGCAACGGGCCAGGTTCACGGGAGATACAAATGAGCACAGCTCCATTGACAGGAGCTGTTAGCGCTCCCGTGCAACTCCACCGCAGGGGAGGGACACACAGAGCTTTCTGCAGGGAAGTGAACGGGGTTTTTACACACCCAGGGGCTTGCTTACCATCTCCCCACACCAGCCTGCAACGGGGCTGCTGTTTGACCTGAGAGGATGCAGGCACAGAGCCAAGATCCTCAGAGCAGCTGCCTGATCCTTTTCCTGACCCCAAAGTCCTCAGCTGCCCACACAGTCCCCCCGGCATCTCCGGTTTGCCAGGTCAATGTGCCCAGACACAGCTCACCTGCCTCGGGACTAAGCAATTTGGTGCTTATCTCTTTTCTAAATTCAAGTAGCGTCCTCAAGCGAGTTCATCTTCTCCTGTGGGCCTCAGCACATCTGCAAGCCCAGAGACCAGCGTGCTGGCAGCAGCAGGAGCAGACATGATTTGCATTCAAAGATCTCTGGAGGAGGTAACAGCACTCCTGATTTTACGGTGGCTTAGCATTGCCACGTTCTCACACCCTCAGGATGTGGGAAACCCAGATTAAATTTTTTCCTTTGTATGAAAAAGTTCAAATGCCCCATCTCCCTCCCTTGAGGAGGTGCCCCACCTTCCTGCCGAAAGCTCTTCTCCTCACTCCACCCGCAGCAGCCGGGAGCCAAGGAAAAGGCACGTGACGGCAGCCCTGCGGGCAGGGGATTCGCACGAAGCAGGGAGCCCTAAGTTTTGCTCTTTGCTCGGATGCTTTCCCATGAAACAGCTCATCAGATAAAAGGTGCCAGCAGGCACACTTACCGGATTAAGCGGCTGGGAAGTCAGGAGCTGCTGAAGCTGCTGGAGCTGTTGTTCGTGTTGGTGCAAGACGTGCCGCTGCTGCTCTGTCAGGGGACTCAGGCTGGGCACGCTGCGAGGGGAGCAGGGCAGGGAACGTCAGCGCAGCCCGCCTCGGTCCTGTGCACACAGGGCCTCCCTCCCTCCTGCTAAACTTCTGCTGGAGAGGGCAGGGCTGTCCCCGCGAGCTCCCCGTCCTCACCTGCTCAGGCTGGTGGAGAGCTGCAAGGTCGGAGGCCCGCTCGCCTGCGTCAGCGCGCTCGGAGGCTGGGCGGCCTGAGCTCCGTTCAGATTCCCCAGGATCCCGTTGATGGGCATCTGCTGGCCTCCTGCCAGGGTCCCCATCAGGCCGTCCACCATGGGCACCGTGGATCCGTGCTGCCTCCCCCCAGCCCGCTGCCTGCCACCCTGGCCAGGCCATTCACCTGCTGCACCCCGGGCAGGGGTAGCGAGGCAGGACTCTGCTGCAGCATGGGCAGGGGCGGAGGAGTGCTGTGGAAGGACAGGGAAGAGCTGCTCCTGCTGGGGCAACCTGAATGAGGGTCCTGGGGGAGAAACGGACACAAGAGCATCGGACTGGGGCAGCTTGTGAAAAGGTCAGCTCAGCTCCAGGGGTGCTCTGGGCAGGAGCTGGAGGTGGGAAGGGGGCTGTGAGAGGAGGTGTATGCTCAGAAGGGTCCCAGAACTCAGACATGCTCGGCTGGATCTCTGGAAGTGGGGTCAGAATCACCTACAGCATTCTCACCTCACGCTCCCAGCCTCAGCTACTCTCTACTCAGACCCTCAGCACTGAGAAGAACTGAAGAACGGGCACTCCAGAGAAAGAAACCTGATTTCTGGGCCTTGACGACAAGGCTTGATGAGCTGGATATCAGAGCGCTGGGACTACGCTGCTCTGCTCCCTCCCCAGGCCCCTTCCCAGCTGGCTGACGGACGCGGTGGCCAGTGTACCTCAGAGGAAGTGGAGAGCGAGTTCTCGATCCCGAAGCTGTTCTTGCATGGGGGGCTCTTGCTGATGCTCAGGGAATCGTTGTTGCAGACTGCAGGGAGGAAAGAAGCGAGGATGCAGAGTCAGGGGTGGAGCCTGACATTGCCACAGCAATAGCAAGGGAAGAGCATACTGCTAGTAGCTACAGAGAGATAAATGGGTCAGATCCTCCCCACTGGGACCCCCTCCTGCCCACCACCCCAGGGCACAGGGTGATGCTTCCCACCGGTCCCCTCACCGTTGGGAGGCAGGATGTACTGGGCCTGGCTGCCCGGGCCGTTGCTGCTGGTCACCACGGGGAAAGGGACAGAGAGCTGGACGTTAAGGAGCTGCAAACGCTCCTTCTTGGCTGTCAGCGTCATGATCTGCTCCTGGAGCCGCTGGTTCTCCTTCTGCAGCGAGTGCAGGGCTTTGAGCATTTCTACAACTGCAGGGAACAGAGCGGGGAAGGGGACAGGGTCAGCGGAGAGAATGGGGGACAGGAGACAGAGGAGAAGGGGATCCACAGGAGGTACTGCAATTAGACCACACTGGGGGAGGAGACTGGCCCCAGCTCCCAGTCCCACTGCCAGCTACTCCCCCATGGCACAGACTAGCGCTTTGTCCCCCACCCGGCTCCTTTGCCCGTGGGCAAAATCCCAGCTGGCTCCCACACAAACACGCACAAGGACCTCTCTTCCCACAGCCCGTGCCCTGAGTGACTCACTGTTTACGCCGGCTTCCCCGTTGCCCTGCTTCTCCAGGAGCTGCTCGATGTTGGGGGTGGCCTGGGGGACATTCTCCAGCTGCCCGCTGCTGCTACACGACACCGTCTGGTCGAAGAGGGTCGGCAAGCTGCTGATGGGGGACCTGGGGAAGGGTTGGGGACACGTCAGAGATGCTTCCCCAGTCGGCACCTGCATTCCTCTGCTCCCTTCTTCCCAGTGCTCATCCGCTTCACACCGGGAATAGGGAATAGCCGCATCCCTCCCAGCGCCCCACCCCCCCCAGCCGCAGCCTCGCGAAGGGAAGCCGAGGAGGAGAGCTCTCCCTCCTCTTAGCCCCAGCTGGTCCTGGCAAAGCAAACTTGCCCCCTCCCATCCCA